AATTCCAGTTCAGGTAAAAACCGAAAACCCTCTAATTTAAAATATTAGTCCACCCCCAGAAAGAGATTGGAAAATAAAAGCCCAATGGCTTCTATTAGAGGAAATACAGTAACTTTTTCGGAAAAATAGTTTCGGAACGATCTCGTTTTTCCCAATATTTCATAATTTTCCAAAAAAAAAGTTTAAGACATGTTTTCGACCAATTTTTTGAGTTTTCATCTGTAGCAGTCCTTTTTAACAGTCCTCAAGAGAGTCCTCAAGAGATATTTTTGAAGCTGGAAAATATGAAAGATTTGGTTTTATTGCTCTATCTTGGAAAAAAAAACTCGTTAAGTAACTTTTTGATAACTTTAATGGTGATCCCCCTTTAAGTGTTTAGAACATAGAAATCTCTAGAAAAATCAAAATTTTCATAGGATCGATGAACAGATGTTTTCTCGAATTGTGTGAAGCGGAAAAGGTTTTTAATCGACGTAAACACACTGTTCTCAGAATTATAGACAAACTGAAACGAAATTTTTTTGTTTCTTCGATAATTTTGAATTTTTTTTGAATTTTTTGGAATATTTTTTTTTTGGAATCTGAAGTTTTAATCATAACCATTTTTTTTAATGTTCCAATACCGTCGAATAATGAAAAACATTCTGAATTTAAATAGAATTATGGGTAAACTGAAACTGCAAAAAAAATTTTTCTTGAAATTCGAATTTTTTCAATCTAATTGTAAAATTTTCGAATTTTTCTTAAAGGAAACTTTCTGAATGAGATTGAAGAACATGTTCTTGGTTCCAAATTAAGGATCATTTGAAACTGAAAACTGAAAAAAAATCGACAGCTTGTATAGTTAATTTCGTGAAAAATCCCAAAAATCCGTCCCAAAAATCACAAACTTCGAAAATTTCCCGAAAGAAAAATGCTTTTTTGGATCCCAAAAATTCCTATTTCTCAATTATTCCCGAATTTTCAGAAAAAAAAGTTTGGATCTCAAAATAAGGTTTTTAAAAAAAGTGGGCGGAGTTTAATTGATTTGAAAAGGGACAAAGATGTTTGGTTTGATATCAGAAACATTTCATTAGTTGAACTTTTTTTTTATAGTTCAACCAGGAAACGAGATAGGGTCAAATGAGCTATCTCTTAAAGGATATTCAGAAATTTCAAAAGTTAAAATTCGATTATTATTATTTAAAGGTGGTGTACGGTGAAATTTTTTATTGCGTCAAAATGTGCAGAAATGCATGTAGATTGACATAAAAATAAAGAAAAAATTCAAAAAAAAATTCCTTCATTGAGAAAAACGCATCGAAAAATACGCTGAAAGCCCTTAGGGACGAGGTTTTTTCTAGGCCGCCCGGTGAGTAAAAGCGCGCGAATTCAAACTTTAAAAAATTTTTCGCTCGTTTTACTGTTTTTTCAAATTTTCCGATGTATCTGGAAGAAAAATTGACAAAAACCTAGAAAACTCTTGAAAAAACCGAAAAAAAAGTGAAAACGAGAGAAAAATTTTTAAAAGTTTGAATTCGCGCGCTTTTACTCACCGGGCGGCCTAGAAAAAACCTCGTCCCTAAGGGCTTTCAGCGTATTTTTCGATGCGCTTTTCTCGATGAAGGAATTTTTTTCGAATTTTTTCTTTATTTTTATATCAATCTACATGCATTTCTGCACATTTGGATGCAATACAAAATTTCACCGTGCACAACCTTTTAAACGTGTTCAATTATTATTATTTAAACGTGGTGAAAAAAAACATTTTTGAATAAAAGAAAAATAATTTTTAAATTATAGAACCTAGAAAAGTACGTGAATTGGTTTAGAAACACACGACCCTTGATGTCCCATTGACCTCCGGCAGATTGCTATAAAGGAAGAGGGAAATGGAGTAAAGAATCAGTTCTCCCTTTCTCTGGGCTCAAGAGAAGGCGAGCCGGGAAGATCCTGGGTCATGGATCCTGAATCCGGGACCTGGAATCGGGGATCTGGGGTCCGGAATCCGGGTTCCGGGATCCGGAATGGTCCTGGGTCCTGGGTCCTGGGTCCTGGGTCCTGGGTCCTGGGTCCTGGGTCCTGGGTCCTGGGTCCTGGGTCCTGGGTCCTGGGTCCTGGGTCCTGGGTCCTGGGTCCTGGGTCCTGGGTCCTGGGTCCTGGGTCCTGGGTCCTGGGTCCTGGGTCCTGGGTCCTGGGTCCTGGGTCCTGGGTCCTGGGTCCTGGGTCCTGGGTCCTGGGTCCTGATTCCTGGGTCCTGGGTCCTGGGTCATGGGTCCTGATTCCTGGGTCCTGGGTCCTGGGTCCTGGGTCCCTGAGTCCCTGGGTCCCTGGGTCTGGGCCAAAGATCTTCCTTGTCCTTCGGGATATCCACGTGGCGTTGCAACATGGTGCATCGAACTTTGATGAAGGCTGTGGAGGCTGTGAAATTCAATATAATTGTTTTTTTCCAAGTGTTGGAACTGGAATCAAACAATTCATGTAGAGAGATGGTCCACGAGAAACAAGATCATTTAAAGCATTCCTGATGGTTCAGACTAAAAATACGAAAGAAATCAAGTGAATGGTCTTTGTCGCGGCAGCAGAGGCTTCAAGAAGCTTGGTGACACGGAGCCCAACTTAAAGGAACACGGACTGTTGAACTCTTTTGCCTCAACCATATAATGAACGTATTTTTAGATGCGTAATAAATTGAATTGAATTAAATTGACCCTTTTTTTCCGAAAAACTTAGAACTGGGATTATTTTTCTTGTTTCAGAAATTTCCAAAAAAGTTTTGATCCGAAATAAAATTCCCAAAATTAATTTCTTAAAACTTTCCAGAGTTGTCCAAAAACAAATTTTTGGATCCTAAGTTTTGTTTTTCAATTTTTCCAGAATTCTCAAAAAAAACTTTTTGACCCAAAATAATTTTTTTTCAAAATTTTCCAGAAAATCAGTAATTTTTTGTCCCAAAAATTTATACAATTTTTCAAATTTAGAGGACTTTTCCATTAGAAAAAAGGTTTGTGAACCTTTACAAAAAAGACAGAGGGAGGGAGACACACAAAAAATAGACGAGAAAAATATGATACAGATCGAGTGAGAAAAAAATTGATTTTTAGAAGAAAAAAAAGTGGGCGGGGCTTGGGTGAATAAAAAAAGGGGCGGGACTTAAAGAGTTTTGTTCAGAAATTATAAAGCTCGCGGAAAGTGAAAAATGATGAAAAATCGTGGGAAAAAGAGAGCGGGAAATTTGAAAAATTCAAAAATTTTCAAGTTTTCAAATTCCAAGGGATATCTTATATCATTATTTGAAAAATTCAAATTTTCAAAAAACCGAAAGTAATTAAAAATAATTAGAGAGATAATTGGTTGTCCTATAGTCTTCGTGTTTGACACGTGGCAGCGAAAATTTTCAGACAATTTCAGATCGTTCGAATCGGGCGACTCGATTCCTGGATTTCCGGCTCCTCGTGTGGAATTTCGCCTTGGCGGATGAGCATCGCGATTTCGAGCTGAAAATTGGAAATTTTGAAAATGGCCTAGAAACATAAAACGTGAGATTTCTAGACCAGCAACATGAAGCATGGCCTAGAAATCCAGATTCCATGATTTTGTTCCTATGCCGCCAGCAAAAAAGAAAGTCTGGTGGCCTAGAAACCAATAGAATTTCTGGGCCATCAAAATTTGGTGGCCTAAAAACCCCAAATTTGATTTCTAGGCCATCAACGAAATCTGGCCTAGACATCCGAAAACTGGGATTTTTCAGCCTAGGGACCAAAAAAAAAAGCTATTTCTAGGCCACTAAAACTTGTTGGCCTAGAAAACCCAAAAATGAGATTTCTAGGCCAGCAGACAATTGTGGCCTAGAAACCGAAAAAACGGGATCCCTAGGCAATGGAGAGCAGGCGGCCTAGAAATCCAAAAATGAAAATTCTAGGCCAACAAAGTTTGGTGGCCTAGAAAACCAAAATATAGGATTTCTAGGCCATCAACAATATGTGACCTAAAATTACGAAAAATGCGATTTCTAGGCCATCGAATGCAGATGGCCTAAAAACCCAAAAATTGAGATTTCTTGGCCAGCAAAATTTGGTGGCCTAGAAACCCTAATTTTTATAATTTTTAGGCCACGCCATTTTTTCAGAGGTTCCTATTAAAATCTTGTAGCCTAGAAACCCAAAAACAGAATTTCTACGCCACCGAGAACAGATGGCCTAGAAACCCAAAAAATTGAGATTTCTTGGCCAGCAAAATTTGGTGGCCTAGAAATCAAAAATGTAGGATTTCTAGGCCAGCAACCTTTCCCATGGCCTAGAAACCCAAAAATTGGATTTCTAGGCCAGCAGTCAATTGCGGCCTAGAAACCCAAAAACGGGATTCCCAGGCCATGAAGAGCATACGGCCTAGAAACCCAAGAATGAAATTTCTAGGCCAGCAAAGCTTGGCGGCCTAGGATTCCGAAAAACGGGATTTCTAGGCCAGCAGATTTTTCGATTTTTTTTTCGCTTTTTCGGTCGTTTTGGCTCATTTTTTGGTCAATTTCAGACCATTGTTGGTCATTTTCATTTTCCGCTTCTTACCACTCTCAATCCCCTCTCCATTGGATTCCGAATATGAAATCCGACGTGGTGATAGATGTCTCGATTCTCTCGATCCAAAAACTCTTGCAGCTCGTCCAGTTTTCGGCGATACGTGGATTTGGTGACGAGATACGAGGCGTAGCATGTGAAACATCCCAACACCGTCTCGAAAATCGTTTGGGGAGTGATCTGGAACAGTGATGTTGGGATTTTGGGTGGAAAATCGTGGGAAAATCTCAAATTTCGGTGTTTTTTTCAGCTCAAAAACGAACTGTGACGCTTTTTTTTCGCGAAAAACTTTTTTTTAAGTCCAGAAATGATCTGAAAATGATACGAAATGGGCTTGGAATGTGTGAAAATTATCTAAAAATGACCTTGACATGATCAAAAATGGCCTCAAATTGACCGAAAATGATCGAAATTCTCGATTTTCAGACATTTTTCAAAAATTTCATCTCATTTTATCGATTTTGAGGTATTTGTGAGCGAAAAAATTATACTGAAAAAAGCCTTTTTGAGCTCAAAAAAATGATTTTTAAGAGATTTTTTTTTTCGAAAGATCCACCAAAGTAGCCCGAAAAAGGCCTGAAATCTGCTGAAAATCGGTTGAAAATGGTCCAAAAAATCTTAAATGACCTGAAAATTGATGAGAAATGGTCAAAATTCCAATTTTCAGACGTTTTTCAATGAAATTCATCTTAATTTATTGATTTTTAGGTGTTTTAGAGCGATAAAAACGGCTGAAAAATGATTTTTTGAGTCAAAAATCCCAAATTTTACCCTAAAATTCGGAAAAAAAACCTGAATTTCCCATGTTTCAGACGCTAGAAGTTCAATTTTTGGGGTATTTTTTTGATTTTTCAGTCTAAAAAGAGGGAAAAAAATCTTACCGCTTCGGCATCAGCAAATATCCGATTTATCCTGGTGATGGTGTTCTCCCAAACATCACGGGGCACCTAAACGCAAAATTTTTGGTTTTAACGTTTTTAGAGGGTTTTAAATGCCAATAGGCTCCAGAGCCACTTTAGACGCTACAATTGCATCTAGAACCTTCTAGAACCGTCCCAACCCCAAAAATCCTAAAAAATCACCCACTTTTTCAGTTAATCTCGCCGGATACTCTGCTTCAAACTGCACATCTAGGCCTCTTGTGTAGTCGCGTTGAATGAAGATCTGACCATTTAGCTAACCGAGATTTTATTTTTTCCAGAATTTTCTGATTTACCTTTCTACACTGATTTAAAATTATGATTTGCGTCTCAAAAGCAGCATTTTTACTATCTGTATTGGTCGAGTAGGTACTGGTTGTGGTGGTACCGTTTTGAACTGCGCCGCCAGCTGCCGTCCCCGCCGGCTTTGAAGCCATTTTTCTGGAAAAAATGCGTTTTTGGGGTTGTCTTTATGAATTATGTGTGGAAAAACAGTCGAAAAACGATAAAAAATGAGTTGAAAAAGGTTAGAAATATTTTTTTCGAGTTGAATTTTTTTTCAAAAATTCCAGAAATTATTTTTTTTTAAGATATCTGATAATAGCGATAATTTTCTTATGATTTTTGATCGATTTGAAATGCAAAAGTTGCAGGAAAAAACCTTTAAAAACCTAAAAAATCTCGAAAAATCACAAATTTATTTCGACCCCGAAAATCGATATTTTTCAGGCTTCCTTTTATCTTTCACCTTCTTCACATTATTTTTTCTTTAATTTTCTTTATTTTTTTCAGGAAATTCTATCAAAAAATCCATTTAAAATCCGCCAAAAAGTCGTTGAAAAAAGAGCAGCGGCAGCGAAAAAAAAATTTCGCCGCTTCCGAAATGTGTGCAATGTGGCGTCGCGGTGTTTGCGGAAGAGAAACACGGCGAGGGGGAATTGGCAATTGTTGACCATAGTCTGAAGGAAAAATGCTGAAAATGGCTGAAAATGGCTGAAGATGACTGAATATCAGGGGAAAATTAATGAAATAAAGCTAAAAATGATCAAAAACATAAACAATTGCTCGGAAAACCAGGAAAATTGCTGAAAAACGAGCGAAAATCGATTCCAAAAAGGATTACTGTAGATAATTGTATTGTTTGAAAACTACCGTAACCTGAAAATACTTATTTCCTTCTTTTTTATCTCAATTTTTATGTGTAGTTCACCGTAAATAGGCGGAAAATAAGACAATTTTTATAGTTTAAAGAGCTAAATGGCCGAGGTTGGTTTACTAGGCCATTTTCGGTAAATTCAGAAAATCACATATTTTGAGAATACCACAACAATCTGAACAACAAAATGTTTTAAAGTCGATCATATCATGCATTTGAAACCGAAAAAAAATAATTTATTTCAAAAAATTTTTATATGGACCGAGTTCGGTTTTCTAGACCATCAATCTTTTCTTCCATGGTTCTCTCTCGTTCAAAAAGTCATAAATCAAATCCCTTGGGACGTGTTCATGTTCCCCCGCATGCATTTCCAAAAAGCGGGAGATTTTTTGGGACAAAAAAAGGGAAATCAATCTTATTCTTCCCAATTCTCCCCATTTTTGACCAGAAAAGCGAAATTTTTGGTGTCATGTCCCACATTTATCCTCTCCTAGTCCTTCTTGGACCTCAATCGCTTCATTCCTTATTCCAATTCGTATTCGTTCGCTCTTTCACACCGCCCGTCTTAGGCTCTTCGGCTCTCTCTGATTTACTGCGTCTCTCCTCAGCGCACACTCTCTCGCCGCCTCACCTGCGTTCCCGCCGTCTTTGGTTACTATGGTGACCTTCTAACGGGAACGAAGACGATGTCTATTATATTGGATTTTGCATATTTTGAGATGTTCTAGAAATTCTCAAGTTTCTAAATGTCAGATTTTTTTAATTTGGAGAAAATTCAAATTCTTGATATTCGCTTTGATTTTTTTTAATTTTATTGAAAATTTGCTTAGAGTTCCTCAAAAGTTCGATTCCAGTTTCCCAAAGTTTTCGATTTTGAAGCTTTAAATAATTTATACCATAATCGAAATTTAGAATAAACGTTTTATTTTTGATTTTCCGAAAAAACTCAATGTGTCTATCAACTGTTTCCGGACCTTCCCACTTAAATATGTACATTAGGAAACAGAGAAAATGTTGTTTCCCGTCTTTTTTGGGTCATTTTATTGCGGAATTTTAAATTTTTGCCGAAATTGAAATCACCCAATTTTTCATTTTTTTTTTCAATGCTTCAGATAGTCCACAATTGACAGAAACTTTATAGCTAGTGCTTCGTCGTTTATAAATTTAAAAAAGCTTTTGGAAATTATGGTCGCGGACTAGAAAACTCTTCCTCTTACACAGAGTGTCACATCTGGAAAAGTTGGTTTTTATGCTGCTTTTAGAGTTCTTTTTGTTTTGAAATTTTTGTCTTATTTTCAAATGTTCTCAGTTTCATTGACTCAGTTTTTAGGAATCTTGTTTGAAATTTTTTAATGAGAAAGTACTTATTTCTTTGTTATTTTATCTTGAACGATGTCCCGGACTTACTGCATATTCTTTCAATAATGTTCATTCGACACATTCGAGAAACAGAAGAAATTGAATTATTAATGTTTTGCCAGTTTCTCAATTTGGTTCCCTTCTGTGGTTTGATATTGCAATGCATCCTTGACCTTTCCCATTTGCCTGAATTTTTCAGAGTATACTGAACAAAAATAGAGCTTCAATTTTGTAGTTGACAATTTTTCTCTAAAAGTTCATCTGAATGAGACATACCGCTTCAAACAAACCATGAGTGAATTTTTCCAGAAATAGCAGCTGTAGACACATTGAAGCGATATATCTCATTTGGACAAATTGGTACGATAAATTTGTCAACTACAAAATGGAATTATTTTTGTTTAGTACACTCTAAAGTTTTCAGAAAAATTTAAAAATTCCGAACTATTTGCAACAAACACTGCATAATATTATTCATCTAATGAATTTCATAAAACACAGTCGGGAAACAGAATGCAATAATTTTTTAACTGTTTCGTAATTTCGTCATCTTCACCCGATTTTCTGATAGTTAATTTTTCCTATCGCCATGTATTCAAAATTTTTTTAATTCTAACTATTTTTAGTTGAAAATTGCCAAGTGATCCTACGAAAGTAATTCAGAATTGTATCATTTGTCTGAAAATTTCAGAGTATACTAAACAAAAATAGAGCTTCAATTTTGTAGTTGACACCTTTTTCCGGAAAATTTTTTTTTGAAGGTGGGGGGTCATGAAAAAATAATGTTCTCGAAATTCTGTTTAAATATGCCCCTCGAGGAGTTAAACTTGTCGAGGCGAGTATTGAAGGGGCGGCGCCGCTACCGACTGAGCCATGCGGGCGAAACTGGATCGGGCGCCTGATTGCATACATAAAGGCGAGGACGACCGCTGTACGCAGAGTGACATTAGGCGTTGTACACCGTTACGGTAGAATGCATACTCTGGCCCCAAAAATCCCCCGTAAAATCTCCTGTCCCCCCACCTTTAAATGAGATATTGCGCTTTTAGCGAATAAAGTGTCAAAACTTCCAGAAATAGGAGTTGTAGACACTTTGAAGCAGTATATCTCTATTGGATGAATTTGTACAAAACAGCTGTGAACTACAAAATTAACACTCTATTCTTGTTCAGTGAACACTGAAACTTTCAGACAAATTGAATAATTCTGAATCATTTTTTCAGGGCATCAAAGTCGGATTTTTTTTCAATTCAAAAATAAATTAAAATAATACAATTCTGGCCGGTACTGTAAGCAACATAACCAATTGTAAATTTTCTCAAAACCCTTTTGAAGCACCTTTCTGAAACACATACAATATTTTTTTACAGTTTAATCAACTTCCCAAATTTTCATAAATTTTCAAAAGTTGATTGTCTCCATTACTGCATCCTTCATTGTGGGCCAAAATAAATCCCCAAAATTCAGAATGTCCTCCTGCGATTTACTCTCAAAATGGCTGAACCCTCAATTCCTTCGAACCCTTCTTCTGGATCCGGACAAAAACAAATCCACGTGTATTCAAATTGCCAGATTTGTGGCTGCTTATTACCTGGATTATCTGCTGTTTTTGCCAACTGAAGAAGGACTATTGCCATCTTTATATCTTTGGGGAAATTTTCAAAAAGAAGGTTGGTTTCTTTTAATTTCATATGTCAAAGGGTGATTAGCCTAGAAATTATGGACAGGTTATTCTAGGCCACTGAAAACAGAAAAAAAATGCTTGAAATTTTGTTTATATGAGGCCCTCGAAGAGTTGAACTTGTGGGTTTATTGTTGGAGATGCCGCGTCGCTATCGGCTGAGCTACTGTGGTTCCAATTGATGCAAAATATACGGTAGCCACGGTCAGGGTAAACGCCGATTACCATACAGTGGCGAGAAGTGATGAGGAGAATTTTTTCGAACATTCATAACTTTGTTCAAAATTGCTCAATCGACTTGAAATTTTGCATGAGAATATCTGTAAAATCCAAAAACATAAAAATCGGTTTTTCGAAAATTTCTCATTCTCAGAATTTTCAGAGCAGTTTCAGATGTAACAATGGTTCGTGAATCGAAAAAAAACTTTTTTTCCAGAATTTTTCTTTGATTTTAGATGTAACATGATTCTCAGTGTCCAAATATGCACCAAAAAAGTTTTGAAGAATTTCGGAAGTCGGGCTCTCGAGTTATGATGCTCAGAGCACAAAAGTTATGTGTCGGCATTTTTGCCATAACTCAGCTGAAAATGTATTTTTGATGCTCCAAATTTTTACAAATAATGTGTTTTGAGTTGCTTATTAGTTTTATAACAAAAGTTTTTCAATTGTAGAAAAAAATTTTTTCTCATTTTTAGATTTTAGAGATTTTCCCTATATGTGAAAAAATGAAAAATTGTTTTCTACATTTGAAAAACTTTTGCTATAAAACTGATAAGCAACTCCACACACATTATTTGCAAAAATTTGGAGCATCAAAAATACATTTGCAGCTGAGTTATGGCAAAAAAGCCAACACATATCTTTTGTGCTCTGGGCACCATGACGAGCCCGACTTCCAAAATCCTTCAAAATTTTTTTGGTGCATATTTGGACACTGAAAATCATGTTACATCTAAAATCAGAACCAGAAAAAAGTCTGGAAAAAAGTTTTTTTTGGATTCACGAACCACTGTTACATCTGAAACTGCTCTAAAATTTCCGAGAATGAGAAATTTTCAAAAAACCGATTTTTACGTTTTTGGATTTTACAGATATTCTCATGCAAAATTTCAAGTCGATTGAGCAATTTTGAACAAAGTTATGAATGTTCGAGAAAATTCTCCTCACCACTTCTCGCCACTGTACATGTCGCGGGCCGGGCCGGTGGAGGAATTTTCACTGGCCCGGGTTTTTGAAGCGAAAATTTTAAAGAGTCATTTTTTGAGAGAAAACTGGATTTTTGGGAACATTTTATCAAAAGTTCTTTGTTTTCAGGTTCAAGAAGGGTCATGGGATAAATTTCGTGCTTTAAAATGATTATTTTGACAAAAATGTATCAAAAATTATCAGAAATTTTTATAAATTGTCGGAACCCGGGCCGGGATAATTATTCTCCAGCCCGGCCCGGCCCGGCCGAGATTTAGCAAGTATGCCGATTACTATAGAATACATGATATAACTGAAAACAACCGATCGAGAATTACGAAAAATAATAAAAATGATGGAACACTTGATACAGTAATATTTATTCAAAAAGTATCTCATTTCAGATTTAAAACCAACTGACACCCTGCTAGATCGCACTAAAGTCAGCTCCATGCTCCCAGTGGAATATTCACCTGCTCTTCCGGCTCTCCTTATGGTAAAGTGCGATTCACTAATTGAAGCAATCAGTTATGTGGACCATTTCGACGACAGACGGACTAGCTTGGTGCTAAGGCTTCTCGCAGATTCATTGCATAAGTAAGTTTATGAAATTTGAGCTCAATTATCTCGATTCCTGTAAAAGATATCAAAAATGTGTCAACTGATAAAATATTGGTGATATTATGATAAAAATTTTATCAGTTGACAAATGTCTGATATCTTTCACAGGAATCGAGATAATTGAGCTCAAAGTTGACGCTTTGGGTAGGCTTTTATTAGTTAACTCCCGATCCGATTCAACAATTGAGTGCGCACAGAACAATTGGAATTTTACAATAACTATGTAGCAGCAAAAAATTGCAGCAAGGACCTAACCATCGATTTCATCAAAACCATGATCGTGGAAAATCTGCCCCTTCAAATTGCCGAATCGCTAAAATCACCATCTCCAAAGTTTGCCCAAAACTTCACAGAATCAATTCTCCAACTGGATGTAGCAATGCAAGATGACTTGATTCAATTCATGGAACAACATCTAATTGCCACTGCTGAATTCGTCTTCTCAGAATTGCCTTTGGAATCTGAGGAAGTGCTTCCGAATCCGATTTACGAGGCACCTGGCGACGTGGCGGATTCTGAAGAGGGCAGAGCGTTTATGGAGATTTTCGGATATGTTCAGATACTTTTGGAGAGTTTTGCAAGGTCCAACCGGATAGTGGATCAGTTGAATTTTACAGTCAAGTTGATTTCTAACGATTCGGTGAGTTAGATTTTGAAAAAAGACCCTTCTGCAACCAGACGTTTTATAACTAACAATTTCACAACCGGACATTTTAAAACAATTCAATTCGCAACAGGTAATTGTTGAGTATTATGTGAAAAATTATCAATTTCAAAAAATCGAGTTTTTGAAACTTTGAATTTTGTTATTTTCGCCAATTAACGTTTCTTGATAACTAGAACCTGAAGAGCTATTCTTTCAGCAACCAATTTTTCTGTTTCAAAACTTTGATTTTGCTGAAACTGTGATTTTTAAAATATTTACAATTTAATATCATTACGTACTTTATGTCAAATTTCTGAAAAATTGCAAAAAATGATATTTCAAAGTTTAAAAAATAACTAATTTTTCAGACAACTTCCCTCCGAGTCTCCTCAAACTATACCCTTCATCGAGTGCTCCTTCTAATGCTCCGTATCACGTATCGTCATTTATTCTCTGTTGCTCTTCGAGAAAATCACGAAAACCTGGGGAAAATCGCTGAAAGATACAAGGAATTGTTGAAAGAAGACGATCAAGAGCATATTCTACTGAGGGATTGGTACAGTAGTGCAGAGGAGGATGATATGGAGAGAATTCAGAATTTCATTGATTGGATTCAGAATAATTATCAGCAGGTAAATTAGGACATAGTGAATGAAATGTAATTTTCTTGAAAAACATAATAGTCAAATTGAACTTGCGGGTCAAACATTAAAGTTTTTTCCCATGATTCGAAAATCACCAGTAACTTATTGAACATTACGAAAAGTTTAGTATATAATTTCGAACAAGAGTTTTGAAGGTTTTGAAACAGGTAGCATTTGAATTTCAATTAATTAGCTAAAGCTTCGAACCAATTATCAGATAAATGAAACAGAAAAATGGATGAAACTGTATTGAACGGAATAAAACCTCCACGAGGAGTTGACTTTGCCGTGCCATTATCAGCTCACTATCAGCTACATGCTTTGATTATTGGCGTATATGAGAGGGTACTACAGGACACCATCACGTCAATGTCCGAAGATGTAATCTGAGCTTTGAATCAATCAACTCTAACACCCATAAAAATTGATTTTTGTAACAGTAACTTTTTTTTCAGAACTCCTCTTTACCTCCGCTAACATCGACAACTCGTGAACTATGGCTCCGTCGAATTGTGCTAAATAGTACAACCAATCATAGAGACGTTAGACAGGAAAGAACAATGGATTGGTTTCGATCGGTTTGTCATCCCAAACATCGGGTAAGAAAATTTTATGGCTCCGGGACATTTCGAAAGTGGACATTTCGAAAGTGTGGTAATACGGGCAAATGGACGAATTTCAGACTACAAAAACTGTTTTAAGGTTTTCAAATGTGCTTTTCCTGATAGAATTTTTTCAAATTTCAGAATTTCAGAAAATTTTTTCAAATTTCAGAATGTGTTCTATCAGAAAAAGCACATTTGAAAACCCTAAAATAATTTTTGTAGTCTGAAATTCGTTCCTTCGCCCGTATTACCACACTTTCGAAATGTCCACTTTGGAAATGTCTCACTTTCGAAATGTCCCGGAGCCAATTTTATTTGCTCTTTCAAACAGGACATTTTTGTGGTGTGGTTAAAAATTTTCAATTCTCTCAAAGTTTTGCATAAAAAGGATCATAATCATTTCGGTATCGAAAACAGAATAATTTCGCCACTATTGATCTTTTGATCCGCAGTTATCGGAGCCCTTTCACTAGAAATCGATGTGAGATAACTAGTAATACTTACCAATCTCATAACTCGGTCCAAACATGGAATTTAGGTTTGATTTAAACAGTAAAAGTTAGACCACAACAAGACTTATTAAATGATATTCAATTCGACTATATTATAACATCGAGTTTTGAACCTAAGGCTGGGGAACAAACGAATAGGGAAAACTGTGGTAGCGCTTCTCCCTACTCACTATGGGTTGAAATTCGGTATTCAAATATAGTCAAATTGTAGATCATTTTGTAGATCACGTCTAGTTATATATTTTACTGTTAACGGAAATTCTAAGTTTGTACCGAGTTATAGGCCAGGGAGTATTAATCTGACCCACAGGAAAGGTTGTAGGAAAAAAGCATCAGTTTTTTGATTTTGGTATTTTTGGGATCAGTGTTCTTCCTAGGCTCTCGTTTGCTGAGCTTGTTTCGAAAAGTATTTACCCATGGCCACCTACCCACAACTTAGCCCAGTCTCCGACAGCCTCCAGAAAAACACTGTAACTATACCCCATCCAAACGTCCAGGTCTGTGATGTCACCATGTCCCAAATGCTGTTCATCAACACTCAATGGACGTCTCCTGGCTTCACATTCATTCAACCCGGATGCCTTGCCCTTCGTCTCTCGATCCACCCCCATGACCTCTGCCTTGGTACCACCACCACCGGTGTCAACCTATCCGCCTCTGCCAGAGACATCCTCTACAGAAACCCAGAGGAAGTGATAAAGGATAAGCAACCAATTTTTACTCCTCGATTAGCATCACCAGATCTAATTACAAAATACGCCGAGAAACACGACAAATTGGCTAGACAAATGGCAGAAACTACCAGAAATTTTACACCGATCGAGGAGCAATTAAGAGCATTTTCTAGGCAACAAGATGAGTTGCAAATGGAATTGAAGAGGGAGAGCGAGTTTTTGAGGAGAGCTGGACACTATCATTATCCGGATAATAATGATGATAGTGGATTTGGGGATGGTGGATTGTTGCGAGGAATTGCGGAGGAAAGGAATAGAGCAGGTAATATTCTTGCCAAGCGCAACTCTATTTTATTCATCATAAAGTGGAATAGAAGAAACAGACAATTTTTTTCTAAAGTGAAACCTCTATTTCAACCAAATGTATCTCGTCTCCTGTAAGAGATATCAAGAAGTGGTCAACGAGTAAAATATTCTTGGCATTATGATAAACGTCTTGACTGTTGACAACTTTTTCGTATCATTCTCAGGAAAGGAGAGAAATTGGGTCAAAACTGATGATTTCAAAGTTGAGGTCAAAGTTGAAACGGTTCAGCTAGCTGTCGTAGCTGACCTATGGCGTGCATTGTTCTTCAAAAAACTTTAACAAAAACTCTAGCTGTCTTGGATTTCGAAACCAATTAACAATCCTTCCGATTTGAAAGTTTCGAAAATTCCAGTAGAAAACCTATAACCTCTAACCGAAACATTTTTTAGAAGAAGAGAATCAGTTATGAATCGAATTTGAACACAGTTTACAGTTTCACTGAAACAGTACAAACAGTTTTGAGAATCCATTTATGTTGTGTACGGTGCCATAGGTACATTCCAAGAAATATTCACCAAAAGCCCTAGGGTATCCTAACTTGGAGACTGTTTTTTTGTTTCCTGCAAGAGATATCAAAAAATTTGTCAACTGTCAAAATGTGTGCCATATCATCAAAATTATTTTGTCCGTTGAACATTTTTTTGATATTTCCCACTGTAACCGAGATAAATGTGATCCAATTTGACCGTTAGAAGACTTTTTTCCATTTTTCGTGTATCATAATACACATGGTATAATGAAAGTTTCAAACCTCTCAAAATATTTTATCAGTTTGAAACATAAATATTTTTGCACCGCAAAAAATTAATGTCTGCTTGGCTTGAAGACATTGATTTAAATGATCAAAGAAAAAAAGCTTTTGAAATTTCCAAATTTAACTGTTTCAATAAAAGCACTTGAGGAGTTAAAACCAAGGTTAAAATATTAAATTGTTCGTCCAATCTGAAAATTTGCCTAATTACAGACGCCGCCTCGAAAAACTCAATGGACGAAGCCCTGGCGAAACAGCTAAATCTTCTGAACGCAAAATTGGATGAAGTGGTCAAAGGGTTAGCAGATCGACAACAAAAATCAATGTACATCAGAGAAGAGGATGAGCAATCGGAATTATCTGAAATTCCATTGGAATATGACGATGCTCCAGTTGGTGGACAAGTACCTGTTATTGAGAAATTGGATTTTGGAATGTTGTCATCGAGAACACCGGCGCCAATTGGGGATTTGAGTTTTAAGGAGGAGAAGGAGGTAGGTGGATAAAAAATCACAAGTTTACTGAATATTTTGAAAAGATTCGGTTTCATGAGGTTTACATATTTTGTAAAATCAAATATAAGCATAATGCCAGACAGCGATAAGACGAATTTGACCTAGAATTTTCTGGAAATTTGGTTCACCTCTGTCAACGGCTAAATAATAACAGTACCTGACGAAACTATCACATTTTTACTAGGTATGTTTTTTTTTTGAAATTTTCGAAACATCGAATTTCGGTTTCATGAAATTCTTTATTTTGTTGCAAAAATCAGAAACCAATACATATTGGACTAATATTGGACTATTAGGTCTCATTTTAAAGTTCTAAATCTGAACAAAATTTATTCTAAAGAGCTTTGAATTTGAAAAAATTGAAATTGTAAAATTTTGTCGCCAAATCATATAATGTTTTTTTTTCAGTTCCACCAATCTTCCGAAGGATCCATCACACCAAAAGCCATCTCTTCCTCTGACCATCTCTCTACAGCCAAATCTTTCTCTAACCCATTATTCACCGAAAAACACCCCAAAATTCCAATGGAATGGATGAAACTGCTCCCATTGGAAGCTGGAAGTGCTCGACACAATTTGCTAACTTTTGACAGAAAACTTTCTGAAATTTTGACGACTCCAAGACAAGACGACTACTTGTTTCGTCGAGAAATCGTTAGTGAAAGAGGAATCGGAACTCAGACGTCGTACCGAAAAAATAGTGTGAGAAGTGGAGAGACGCAGACTAATGATGACGTGGCAAATGTGACACGAAAAGTGGTGGATATGAAGTCGGTGAAGAGATTGAGTGTGGATGATATGAAAATGGTTATGGATAGGGTCGCTAAGTTTTGAGCACTGTTTGTTGGTTCGAAATAAAGATTTTTAATTTTATCTGTGAATTTATGCATAGACCGAGAAAACTGAAAATTAGGTCATGGCCTAGAAAGTTCATCTGGAGAAATCCCAGATCCCAGATCCCGTATCCCGGATCACGGATTCCGGATCCCGGGTTCTGGATCACGGATCCCGGATCTCGGGTTCTGGATCCCGGATCCCGGATCTTGGATCCCGGATCCCGGATCCTGTATCCCGGATCCTGGATTACGGATTCCGGACCCTGGATTCCGGACCCCGGACTCCGGCTCTCCGGATCCATTCTCCGGGTTCCTCTTCTCTGGATCCCAGAGAAAAGCAGAACTGATTCTACTCTCCGCTTCCCTCTTCTTTTATAGCACTCTCTCTGAGGTCAATGGGGCATCAAGGGTCATGGTTTCTATACCAATTCACGTTTTCGTTTTGGTTTTAAAATTAAAATTTTTTGAAGAATTTTTGGCACGCGGATTTCTTTTATAAGTTTATTTTCATCACGTTAAAATAATTAATGAATATTTCTTTTTCAAATCTGTGAAACTCCTTGAAAGTGTCCTTCCTTTGACTTTAATTATCTCGTTTCCTGTTTGAGATATCAAAAATGTGTCAACTAATAAAATGTTGCTGATTTAAAGATAAAAACTTTTGCTCTTAAAACTTTTTTGATATCTTTTGATAATTCAATAAGAGCACTCGATGAAACAGTTTTCATTTTGTGTTCTAACTTTTTTGCATTTTTCTAGGCCTTCAACATTCTCACATTATTCACAAGGAAGTACTGTTTCAAGCTGTTTGTATTGGTGCAAAGGTTGTCATTAATTTCATTATTGTGGTCATCTTTATAAACTCCACTCTATACCATACTTGTAATCCGGGTCTTTGCCGGGCCTTCGCGGGCTCTGCCATAACTTTTTTCAGAATCAATGTTTTTGAACCAACTTAATTAGAGATGATAGAGCTCTACGAGTACTACAAAACGGTATCATTTGGAATACTGTATCTTGTCTATGAACAGAGTTACAGAGCAAAAGGAACAAAAAAGCAGGCCCGGCCCGGGCTTGCCGGGCCCTGCGAGAAAAGCCACTTTATGATCTGTAACTTTGTTCATAGATACAGTATTCCAAATAATAACTTTTTGTAGTACTCGTGGAGCTCTATCATATCTGATTTAGTTGGTTCAAAAATATTGATTCTGAAAGAAATTATGGCAGGGCCCGCCAAGGCCCGGCAAAGGCCCGGATTACAAGTATGCTCTATACCAAAATTTTCCACCCAACTCTTATCCACTGACACAAATGATTTCTGTCTTGATTTTACTGATATATTGTTTCAAAAAAGTTTCCTCCAATTTTGAAACTCTTTGAAACTGTGAAATTGTACTTTTAAAACATCTCCCAGTTATTGTACAATTTCGATTTTCGCGGTTCTACAAAATGAATTTTAATAGTTTGATGTCTAATTTCTTGAAGAAATCACATTTCCATTGCCTTCTGATAAGTTTATCAAAATTTCCATAACGATATATGTCAATCTATGTTTTTACATAATTTGCAGAGGTATTACGGGGTGCGCCAAAATTATTGCAACCAAAGTTTAGTGGGAGCTGGTGGGCACTGTAGAATTTTTAGAGCAATTATTTTGTACGTATTTATTTCAGCATGTCTTAATTAGTTGATATCCAAATTTTCAAGTCTTTAGGTTGACTTTTACACGAATGGTGACTAGTTCTATACATCTATGCACCCTCGTCGAGGTGGCCAAGAGTGGGGTGGGCCTAAGCAGCATAGGAAAAGCTCTCGGAATCGAACGAACAACCTAGTGGACAACCATCGAATGTTTCTAACAGTTGAATACGATCAAGAACTGTCTAAAAACGTCAGATCTGAAAAAAAACTGGAGAGAAACAAGGCCGTCAGAGAATTAGTTTGTCGAAATTCTCACCGAACAATGAAAAACTGAGCCTGAAGCTCCAAATGAGCAGTAAGGCAGTCAGTACAATCGTCAAAAGTGAGCTCGGGCTGACCCCATTTCATGTTCAAAAGACAAGAACTTGGTCGGGAAATAACAATCTGGTACGCATCCAGAAGTGCAAATCGACATTTGCTGGAACGCACTAAAATTAGCACAAGAGGATGATGTTTGGCGACGATAAACTCTGACATAGAAGGCCGAACCCTTATGAGAAAACCATCGAGTTTTTAGCCCGAGATCTGAGCTAGCTAATAATCATGGTAGGATGACCAACCGAGCTTCATATCCATAGTACGTCATGGTTTTTAGTTAAAACCTCCGAATTCGATTTTTTATAGATTTTTGGTGAAATTCAGCAAAGAGTACTAATAGGAGGAAACTTTTTAGAGGTATGTTCTTCCGTGGACCAAATACTATTCTGGAAACCATGTTTGGAATTGGTCAGAAATTAGAAACCGTTTCAAAAATTATGGATAAATTGATACAGTAATATTTTCTCTTACCTTTTCATTGCTTCTTCTAGTTATAGTATTCAATTATCACATTTTCTGGATTATGTAGGTATGCCTTTAAAGGTGGTGGAACTTGAAAAAGTTGTGTTTTCGATACAAAAATCCTCTTCTCAAAATCCTCTTCATGTCCTCAATCCATTATTCTGTATTTAATACATCTATTCAGAAAAATCTCGGTGTGTATTAGTCTGCGGTATTAGTAGAATACACGGGGCGATTTCAAGGACACCCCCGTTGTACATAGTGCATCCGCACACGACTGAGACAGAAAACTAAGAGAGTATTGGATATAAAAGAGACACATACAGCAGAGGAAAACTATCAGAATCAGCCTGACCCGAATATATCGTTGTTGGTGTACTTGAGACGAAACGGATTTTTATCTTGTTCTGTGTTCTTTTTCTTTTTGGTCAAATTTTTTATGTTTCTAGAAGTTTCAAACTGGTTTTCTTTTGTATTTTTTTATTACTCTGTAGTTAATGGTACTGAACATAAGATACCTTTTTTGCAAAATCTGCAAATTTCAGAAAAAAAATTTAAAATTCAGCACTCACACTGCTTTTATTAAAATTTTTCTTGATTTTTCAATAATATGAATTTCGGGAAACCGAAATTTTTTCAAAGTTTCAAAAAAAAATTTGTTCGTTTTTTCGACTTGTAATTTTTGAAATTTCAAAAAAGTGGTCCAGAGTTTGTCGATTTCTCTGAAAATTTCAGCGTTTACTAAAAACAAATAGAGCTTCATTTTTGTAATCAACAACTTTTTGTGACTAATCATTTTTTCTCAAAAAGTCATTCAAAAGAAGAAAAACGTCAAAAAAGTGGCCATAACTAGAATAAAACTGCGGTCATTCTGCCTTTTTTCGCCCACCACCCAAATATGGCAAATAGAGTTAATTGCAGTCGTTGTGTTTCTTCTTTTTCCCAGTTTCTAGTTTTCTTTGTCACAATATACTGGATTGTTTTGTTCTCTAATTCTATGAATTGAATTCAGCTGAAATTTTTGTCGTTTGAGTTTGAACATATTTAAATGATTTGATTTGATTAAATTTCGCTGTTTCAGAATTTTGGTTTATGGGAAGTAGAATTCTTGAAGTCATTCT